ATATTTTTTCTTCTAAAATGCACTCTGACTCTGAATATCGGTACATTCTTCAAGTCTGATAGCGCCATCGTGAGGTATCGATATTACAACTCTTGCGTTTAACCCTTGAAGGAACAGCCAATTTCTCTCCTTCTCGGGATCGTTTTCCATATACATCGGCCCTCCTTGGCCTCCATCTCCTGAAACTGATGATATAGCTCCCCCGAGGATATGAATCGAATTTTCACGAGCGTGCGACGTACGGCGATAGATGGTTGAAGTTATACAGTGTGTCCTGAATCTATTAGCCGCAGGCAGATGACGTAAGATGACGTAATATAATTTGCTGACGTATTGATCTTAGGCATAATAATATTTTGGGAAAGATAGACTTGCTCTTCTTAACTTCACTTAATTCTTATCTTTGTATATCTGGATGAACCACTACCTTTATAGATCAAAGAGAACACTCGATAATATTCGGTGAAATGCTCTACATTCCCTAAACGATGTTCCCGGCGTTTAGGCGAAAGGTATACACCTACAGGGAGACGCTCGTTGTAATTGCATTGGGCCGCTCATGCAAGTTTCATAGAAGTGTCAAGGCGAACGAAAATGCATTACGAATGTATTGCCGTACAATGCATAATCTTTTCGCTGCGCATGTTACTATATCGCGCACAAATTTCTTATTGGTTCTCACATATGTTGCAAACACAATTTTTGTAAGTAGTTGTAATTGCAACATTAATTTACTGAAAAATATTTTAATAACTTAAATAAAAGTAATATAAACCACATCCTTTTATATATTTGGATTTTTCTATTTTTAATTTGAATTCGAAATTTAGTTTATGTATAAAAATGAGGATTTTTTAAACTTCTAATTCTGAATTTTTTGGTCTCTCTACGTATATTCAAAAAAATATTTTTGATATCTTTTCTTATATAATTTTCACATCTTAATTTGCTTCTTAGAACTTTGCAACGCGTGAATCGTTTGCGACAATGAAAGATGCCATCCGTTTTAGCTGTGCAGACAGACGGAGATAGAAGTGCACTTTGGAATATTACGCTTTCCTGGGAGAGCTCTTTCGTTCACCGATTGCTTATTGCGCGAATTACGCGAAGCGGGCCGTTTTGTATGAACAAAGCCACCACCTCCCATATACACTCCCGATATAGTTGGCAGTCTGTACGCGTGTTGGCGGAATGCCACTTGTGCGCAACACGTGTACGCGGGGATTTCCGCAAAAATGAAAACGGATGGTAGCGAATCCCGAGGGGAAACCATGGTGCTACTCGTAAATTACGTAGGATCGTTATCCCCGTTCGCATTTCCGTTGATACCGCTCGATTAATCACGTTGCGCCCACAATCGAATCGACTCCATGTCAAATAACGATACTTTTGATCGTTTACGTAAAAAAAGTATTGTTTGTATAATAATATATTTGGGTTATTGCATGCGAGATCAAGTTTTGACCCGGATTGTTGCGATTAAGCCAATGGCCGGGTTAACTTACGTGATTATTACGAATTAACCTTCTCGTTCGCGCTGCGGATACACAGTTAATTCCGAGAAACAGTAGGAATACTTAATAATTGAGGAATTTCGTCAATTGTCACGAAGTTTACTTTAAGTTGCAAGATTGATCAATATATCTATATAGTAATGCATTAATAAATTATAAAGGAAGATATCTCGCATACAAAAAGAGATCGACTAAATATACGCAAAATCAATATCTTGGAATTAAAATCACTCTGCAGCATGAAACGTAGAAGAATGAATGTTTTATATATCTCAACATGCGATATTTCCTTTATTTCCTTTATTTCTCTATTCATGTAGCAGAATGATGTTCCAGCTTTAATGTATTGCGAGAAAAAAAAAAGAGAGAGAGAGAAGAAAGTATAATGAAGCACAGCTAGACTTTACATTAAATTAAATTACGCGCTCCGTTGAACATGGCATCACGAATAATTAAAACCGCATTTTAAATGACCCTTTTGACATTTATGGATACCTCGAAAATGACAGAAAGCTAAAGTCGAGACGAATTTCCGACTCTGCGCAGCGAAACCATTTGTCGCCGTTTCGGTACATCTCGCGTATTATTATGTATTACATCTCCGACGACGTTGCATCGTAACGTGAATGACGTCATCGGAAAGTTATGTAAGCGGCAAACGAGCAATCAGACGACCGACTCGCGTTTCGTCGCCTGTCGACCAGACACACTGCCTCCGGGAATGTGACAGAATTGAAGCACGTCCGTGTCATGTATATAATCTAAATTTTGATAAGATTATTTTAATAAAAAAATAAACTTACTAAAAATATAAGATAATTTTAATTTATACGTATATAAAAATAAATTCCTCGGATTCGAAATATTTAAATTTCCGCCGGTTTTAATCATCGTCAAAACTCGACGAAAAATCATCGTAGACAAACAATTAAAAAAACATTTTGAAGCTTGAAGTTTCAACTTTAACGCGCTATCAATATAGTTCAAAAAATATTTTTTCTCATTTTTGAGAAATACAGGTCTGGTTTCAAAATCGTATGACTCGGGCAAAAAATGTAGGAAAATTTAAAAAAAGAAGAATTTAAAAAAAGAAGTATTTTGTAGGAAAAATATTGTTGTTTATGGAATTTGACTTCTAGAGAGAAATTTTTTATTGAGCGGCAGAATGTAAAAGATATGTATTTTAGACAAAATATTTTGTTTTTTTTTAAGCATAGAAAGGAAAGAAAGCAAAGAAAGGAAAGAACGATAAAAATATTTTAAAGAAACATCGATAGTTGAAACCATAAACTTCAAAATGCTTTTCGATATTATTTCTTAAAAGTGCATATTTAGTTTTAAAATCGTGTCACTCGGTAAAAAAAAAATCGTAGGCAAACTTAAAAAAAGCAATTAATAAATAATAAAGGTCAATTGGAGCCTAGACGCAGTAATTGGAGCGTAAACAAGTTATTTTTTGTTGAAACAGAAATATTACATTAATTCAACCATTTCGACCCATTTCGGGTCCTTTTCAATGAGATCGAGATAGATTTACAAGTAAATGGCAAACATTATAAGTAAATGGCGCTTCAAGAGACAGAGCAATACAATGAGTGAAACAGCGAACGCTAATATATTAATCTATATCCCAAAACGCATCCGATATAAATATGAATAGAGATTGATAATGCAAAAATTTTTGCAATTACTGCATCTAGGCTCCAATTGACTTTTATTATTTATTAATTGATTTTTATCACTTGAGCTCTTTCATTTTTGTTTAAGTATTTTATTTAAAAAAAAGCATTTTGAAGGCAGAATGTTATCGTCTATAGAATTTGACTTAAATTTCTCAAGAGAAATTTTTTTTACCGAGCTGCAGAGTGTAAAAGATATGAATACATGCTTATATTATTGCGATGATGAAATTTACTTTATTTATAGTTGTCTCGAAATTTTCAAATTAAGTATATCTGCATCAATTGGACCCCTTACTTTCGACAACAGTCATACCACGTTGTAAAGCACCTGTTCTCGTCCGATCACTGAAGTTAAGCAACGTTGGGCATGGTCAGTACTTAGATGGGTGACCGCTTGGGAACACCATGTACCGTTGTCACTATCTCTTCTTTTTTTGCTAATTTAAATCTTATCAACATCGGATTTCTTTTTAAATACATGCTTAAATTATTGTGATGATAAAATCTATTTTTTATTTATAGTTGTCTCGGAGTCAAATTAATATCTGCAACAATTGGAGATCTTATTATCGTCAACCATCATGCTACGTTGTAATGCCTCAACTACGCAACACACACAGTTAATTTTTCTGTTTTTAGATAGGAGAAAGAAAAGAAACAAGTGATTCATATACCTCAAATGAAAATGTAGTTCTTATTCACAATAAGCGCCTTATAGACTCGAAAGAAATTCATTATATGACAGAAGATAAAAATGAGACGTATAACATCGACAGGAATCACATGCCCGAGGGATGATTATCTCGGTACGGAAGCAGTACAAAATCTGAAAGAGATACCCATAGCAGTTATAAAAAGAGCTTAATTAAACTCATCACTTAATTTAGATATGACCCGAAATAAGAAAAAAAAATCTGATATTGTTACAGAATCAGTCAGAACAAAAACACACAATTGAATCTCTCACCGAAGAAGTCATCGCAAGAAAGAAAACGCCAAAATTCGAAATTTAAGAAACAAAACAATGTGTTCTTTTTTAAAGCACAGAAGATAAAAAAAAATTTTAAACTACCGTTAAAAAACAATAAAAGTAAAACTTCACACCTCAAAATGTTTTTTAAGTTTTTTGTCTACGATGATTTTTCGTCGAGATTCAGCGGTTTGAAAATACTCCAATTTTCAGCGTATGAAAAGTGTTCCCTACTTTTTTTTTAGTAGTTTATATTAATTCTTTGGAGCCACAGTCAGTGTGAGAAATTAGCTGCTTTGTATGTAGAGTCGCATATGTGCGTGCGCCGCGAGCATTTCCGAGGAAGGGTACTGCACGTTTCTGGGGATAGGACACGCGAGGAGGCGTGGCGACAAAGGCGGAAGTTAAATCGTTAAATTTCGCTCAACTCATTTTTTTCCGGGGAATTCGCGCAAGGGCGGCAAGGAAATGCCCTTTATTTTATCTTCCGAAACCTGCGTTTTCTCATATACAAAGACGAAATAGTTAAATAGTTGATAGTAGAGTAATTAAATAGTAGTTTTAAAAAGAAGAATGTAAAAAAACGACTTATTTGAAAACTACATTTTTCGGGAAAATAAATGTTGATTCTTCTAGCGTTGTTTATTAAGATTCTTACGATATATTAATTATTAAAATTATTATTCGTTTTGAGTATATATATGTACAGAGTAACTAGATAAAATAAAATAAAATGTATCTTTTATATTATTGATTGCAATGTAAAATTATAAGAGACGTTATTTATGTATATATTTTTGTACTAATAAGGATGCACTTCTTTTTTGATTTCAGCGAAGGCAGAGAAAAAGTACGCGTCTCGTTGTTAGGTCCACAACCGTCGCCGGCGACGCCCGGCGTCCTCTTACTGGAGCCGATAACGCATTTGACAGGACATCCGATAAACATGGCCAACAATCCCGCGGAACTTTTGACCACGCACACCGAGCACACTACGCCCGCCTACCACGCGCAGATCAGGTAAGATTTACTATCCTACTACGAAAACTCCTGCTCATATTACGATATATAAAAGGTTAATAAATCACCCATTATAAAATAAATCGTGTATGTATGTGTGTGTGAAACGTTATCAGAGATCAAGAAAAGAAAAAATGATTGATATCATCAGTCATCTCGTAAAGAAATATATCTTACATAATCTTGTTTTTAAATGAATTTTGAGAGATGTGAACACAAAATTTGTGAAATGTTAGACAGTAAATTTGACAGCCATCAAGGAGAGGGATCGAAAATCATTAAAAATGATTAAAAATGGAAAAAAGACAAACATATAATATCTTCCATATAATCTCGTTTAAAGAAATAAATTTTTCTGGATGTTTATCATCTTTCGATGCATTTTTTCCCTAAAAATAAAGTTGTTCACACAAAATTCCTAAAAAAGAAATGAAGAAAAAAGCGAGCACAAAAATCATCGAAGATGAGAGACACTGTCCCCGGAATAATTAATCTCCCGCGCACGATTCGCGCGACCCTTGACGATCTTAATGGGCCGGAAGTGACGTTCCTTTCTCTCTCTCTCTCTCTCTCTCTCTCGGCCCCCTTTGTGTCTTCGTCGCCTGGTACCACCGCGCTACCAAACAGTTTACGACGATTCTCCGCGGTTACAGGCCTGCCCGTAGTAACTATTATAGTATAACTATTACGCAAACTGTCCTATCTAGCGCTATCACTATTTCAACGTTACAAGCAGTCTCGCCCGCACACGTCGCACACGTCGTAAATTTTCCAAGAGAGTTCCTTCTTTTGTCAAAAAGATATAATATTAGCTGGCGAACAATGAGATGTAAATCTTCTAAAATATAGAATAGCTAACACGAAATATCAAGATTAGTTATGATATTGTCTTATCTTGTCTTGAAATTTGAAACATGATTTTTAATTAGTTATCAAGACTAAGATTGTCAAGATTATTGATTTCTAAAAAAAGCTAAAATATGTATATTTGTGTGTATATTTGTAAATCACATGAGAAAAAAATCACTATATTATACAAACTAAAAAAATTGTATTTAATAACTAAAAACATTTATATTAACAAATTTTGAAATGATTAATGTAATAAACAAAATAAACAATAAAAAAATTTCCACAATTATTTAGCTACACAAAACTGTGCGTTCCTTGACTGTGTACGTGTGAATCGCGTCTGCATTCTGGCATCATTAATGCAACTGTCTTTTCGTAAAAATAACGAATATATATATATATATATATATATAGTTTTGGGAAGTAAATGAATTACATAAATGATTACCTTAAATTATATTATACATTATAAAGATTTTTATGTTAAATATTGTTTTCAACAGTTATTCAATATTAGATAAAAATTATTAATAAAATCGAGGCAAGACAATACAAGATGAGATTTTTACTACCAAGATTTACTCAAAACCAAGACAAGATTTAAGTTTCCGAAAATGTTCAATACCAATACAATATTTTTACGAATATTGTCTTGTTTTTAATCTTGTGCAACCCTAATAAAGAATAACCCTAATGTAGAATGTAGTGTGTAATTATATTTCGTAACACTCGACTTGACGTTTAAACCTTCATCGTAGAACGATCAACTGTATATAAACATCATAGATAGGGTGATCTATGTAAAATTTTGCAAGCTATTTTGTTAGAATTACTTCGAGACAGAAATAATATTTATTCAAAAATTTCATGAATTCAACACACAGTTGGAAAATTTAGCTTAAATTTAACATATATCGCATGTCCCAAACAGTTCACACAAATTTTTGTGTTAATTTAACATAATATTGGAATGTTAAATGGTAATACTAATACTATGTAAATATTTCAACACAAAATGGACAAAATGTAATACATAGTAATTTGAAATAAATTATGTAAAATCAACATATTTTTAATGATAAAATTAACTTGGAGAAATGTTATTGACAGTCTGTAGTCACACTCATTTCTATTGCAGAATAAAGTCAACATTTTTTTCCTGTAAATTTTAACACATAAATCCTGTTACTAATAACATGGAATGTATCTATTGTGTAAAATGAAAAATATGTGCACATTGTCTTATTTTTACACTTTTTTCAGTTGTTTTAATAATTTAACATTTGAGTTCAATTAACACAACAGCATTTGTGTTAAATTAACACATGAATGTGTTAAATATTTAACACAAAAATTTTAACTGGCATATTTTTTAACAAGAAAACATAAATTTTCTAACTGTGAAGCATCAAGCACCAAAATGCTTCTGTCATTTTATTTCTTGTCTTTTTTAATGGAATGTCGGACTGAAGTTATACTTTAAAGAAGATACTTTTCAGCTTCTAAAGAACTCTAAAGCAACTCCGGTACAAGAACGATAAAGATTAGCACGTGCGGTGACAGTTGATGAAAGTGAGCGCAAATAGTTTGCGACTCGAGGAGGAAGAACCTATGATTTACCACACATATATACACGCGCATGCATACATTGATTCACACGAATAGAATATTCGCGTATCTCGCGGTGCCAGTCATAAATAGAATTCGAGCAACGCGCGAGTGTCTAATAGCAAAGTTGGTTGTAGTCTGTTTACTCTTAATTCCATATAAGACTTAGCACACAAAGTTAATATATATACACACTCCGCGATGAACAATTTACTTTAGATTCTTCTGAATGACTTTTGCGTGACGAAACTTTGATAATTCCTGTTAAAATGCAAAAATATTATTACTTGAGTTCTTTAGCTCTCTGTTTATCACGTGTATATATATATATATATATATATACAGGGTGCGGCATTTATAGTGACGCAGGCATATTTTTCGGAAACGAAGTGAGATATCAAAAAATGTTTCAGACAAAAGTTGCATGGTTTCGAGGGGGCCATATGATAAAAATATGGATTTGACCTTAAGTGGTCTTTTCAAGGTGAGGTCAATGTGGTCGATGTTTTCTTAAATGGAACTCCCCATTTTTTATTACATATTCTTGTAGCTTACCTCGAGAGCTTTCCAAAACACTATAATAAAGTATTTTTTCATTAAATACTTTTTGAGTTATTTTATATTTTAATCTGCTAATTGATTATGAATATGTAATAAAAAATGGGGAGTTCCATTAAGGAAAACATCGACCACATTGACCTCACCTTGAAAAGACCACTTAAGGTCAAATCCATATTTTTATCATGTGGCCCCCTCGAAACCATGCAACTTTTGTCTGAAACATTTTTTGATATCTCACTTCGTTTCTGAAAAATATGTCCGCGTCACTATAAATGCCGCACCCTGTATATGGTATTTCTATTCAATGTGAGGAATCTGAAGCAGCAGGCATTGCTTTGTGCGGAAAATTGCAAATTCACTTTCCGCGCAAAACAAGGTCTACCCCCTGTCACCTGATGCTTTAGATGCAAAACTAGGTTTATAATTATATCGTTTCATATGGGTTTGTGACTTTCCGCGCAAAGGAAGGTTGAACCTAAACCTATGTGTCTAGTTTTCTGGTAGTGGAGCCTCCCCGCAGAGGGGATGGAACATACTGCCTTCACGCATACATTTTTTAATACGAAGTGAAGTTCCATATGGCTTTAAAATTTTCCACGCGAAGCGAGATTTCACATGGGTTTACAACTTTCCACGCGAAAATTTAAAAAAAATTTTTGTTTTTCTTTTTATTTCCCGAAGTTGGAATCAAGCGCAATTTATTTCTCACGTTGAATAGAATTTATGTGTAAAATTACAGGTCAATCGGGTGGAGGGGTCATTTGGAAGTATATCCAAAAAGTCAATTTAGATAGATTTTATTTCAAAAACACGACAATATACATTTTATTCCAAGTCACTTATCACTTCAAATGACAAAATTGCACAGATGTTAGACGTTTCATGCATTGATCAATCTGTCTGTAAATTTTCAATCGCGATAAAGCGTCTTATCTTTCGCGATCCTAAATCCTCACGTTCGATCCTTACGCAATTTGTCCGCGGGCAAAATGGATACCGAAATAGAGGAAGAAGAGGAACCGCCGAGAGAACTGGTCGAGCCTTTCTCTCCTGTTCGAGAGCATCTCGATATTTCCGATTCTAATCTTTCAAGCTGTGCAACGCGCGATCGATTGGACGACTATACACGCATTGCCACTTAGTGAAACACGTTACGTAATTCGCGCATACATCGAGGTTTCTAATTGCTAATGCAAGCCATCGTGTGTCGCGGCGAAATCCGTTCGCGTGAAAATCATCGGCGTGTAAAAAAGTTCCCGGGCAATTTCGTTGCGCGTAAATTTGCAATATTAGCATCTCAAAAGTTAACCCACGTATGACTGACGCACAGTTGAAAAATTTGTGTTAAATTTAACACATATCACATGTTCCAAACGGTCCACACAAATTTTTTTGTTAATTTAACATAATATACAGGGTGGCCCCGAACGTTCCAGCCAGACTTTGAGATCTTATAGGAAATTTAATTCTGAACAAAAAATTTCCTATAAACATGGGTCGAAAAATGCTTCCTTAAGAAGTTATCGCTCAAAAACCTCTGATGCAAAGGAAGAGCGAAAGGTGAAAAGAAAATGACATAAAAAGAAAATGAAACTTAATAAATTTCTTGAAAAAACGATAAAAATAAAAAATAAAAATCTTTTCCTTTCATGAAAATAAAATTAATTTTTTTAAACTAAAATAGCACGTAATAGTAGAAAATGAATAAAGACGTGAAAAAACTAACTGTTCTCAAAATGTCCCCCCCTAGCTCCAATACATTTTTGGCATCGAGTAATGATCGATCTAGTCGCTTTACGGATTTCCTCCTGATTCAACTTTAATCGATCAAAAGTCGTATTTATTTGTTGGATCAGATATTCACGAGACTCGATTGGCGTTGAGTAAACTTCAGAGTAAAATAATCACGATTTCAGAGGTTTTTGAGCGATAACTTCTTAAGAAAGCATTTTTCGACCCACGTTTATAGGAAATTTTTT